CATCAAGGTTTTTGCTCTGGTTCATCCTTATTCAAAACCCTTGGTAATGAGCACTTTTCATCAGCCATGTAACCATAGCAGACATTAGGAAGAGGAGAAAGCAAAAACCCAAAGCCTCCAGGGCCTTGTAGACCATCTAAGGGAGTTTAGACATTGTTCTAAAGAGACTGGTGTCAGTTGCCATTTTGGGAATAAATACCATGAACAAAGGATTGGAGGTGTGGTTTAGAGCTAGAGCAACTGCCTAGCAAAACTAAGGCTCTGAGTTCAAAACCCAAGGCCAAAAAATGTAGAGGTAAGGGTGTGGTTCAAGTGATAGAGAACCTTCACAAGACCCTGGGTTCAATTCCAGTACTGCAAAAACAAAAATAAAAATCATACACAAAGGCTGTAGCAGGAAAGTGCTGACAAGCCCAGGATTTTATAGAAGAGACTATGGAAAGGTTGTAAGGATTTGTGAACTTTTCCTTCTGGATGGTTTTTGAGCAAAGACTTAAAGAAATAAGACTGTTCAACAAAAAAAAAAAAAATGACAAAGAATGCTTTGTGAAAGAAGTTGTTATACAGGATGAATTACCATATGACCTGTTCACTGGATGTCAGAACCAAGGACTCATTCCTCTTCAAGTTGGCAATCACTTTTATTTCATTAAGCTAAATAATGTCTTGCACAATCCTCTTTAAAAAAATAAGATTTTACACTAGTTGAATATCACAGTCCAACAGCATCAAGCATAATATATCAAAACTTTTCATGCATAAGTGCTTTTTATCTTATAATAATTCTTCCTCATTAACTGCCACAAGGCAAGCTTCCAAAGCCTTTCTCTAATTAATCATAGGAAAGTTTTCCCAGAAGCAGTGTGGTTTGCCTGTGATCACTGGAAAGATGAACGGTACACGGAGAGGATACACAAGAGGACTTGCCTGGCTCACACCTGGCATGTGCTGTGTGGGGCCCAGAAGTTCACCTCTGAGATTCTAATTGCACTTTCCAACAGTGGCCCAGTCTATCTGCTTTCTGTTCTGAGATGGGACCGATGAGATCACTACACCTGGTGCGTAGCCATGCGAGGCCAGCAGCTAAGGGAAAGCCACAGTTCTACCCATCAGATTTGGTTTTTCTCTTCTTCCCATGTAGCAGATTTCAAGAGTCTCAGAGAAGGAATCCCTGGCAGATACTCTGATGTGAAAGTGGCAGGGACTATAAGAAGGGGAGACAATCTTAAGGAATGATGGACAAGAATAGGTGAGGTTCCAAAGGGAGAAGAAGAGCTGACTGCCAGATTCCTGAGTACAGGCTCTCCACTGAGGCAGGTCTGGGCTACACCAGTCCTCAGTGACTTCACCCTCCAAACAACTGTCCAGTTAGGAGTAGACAGAAGAGGCTTTTGTTCATCTCGCAATGTTCTAGAATAAACCTTTCTAGAAGTTCTAAGTAAGTTTCCACCTAATGGTGGAGACACAGCTTTCCCCTCTGGATGTCTGCTGCTCCCTTCACACCTGAGAGGGACTGCCTTGATCTTGACTTAGGAAAGTCTGCTTTCTGTGGTTTGGGGATAAAATCCAGAAAAGGGATTGGGAAAACATGCTATTGAATTGGAGGAGAAAAAGGAGAATGAAAAGGAGGAGAGACAAAAAGACCAAGAGAGACAAAGAGAGAAGAGGGAGACAGGGAAAGAGACAGAGACAGAGATAGAAAGACAAAAAGAGACAAAGAACAGAGGAGAGAGAGAGAGAGAGAGAGAGAGATAACATCTATACATCGAATTATTCAAAATATTCTAAGGAAATGAAGACAAATCATTTCACTTGGGCCTGAGGAGAAGCTATAGAAGATTTTTGATGGTTACAGGAAAACAAATTGCTTCACAAAGAACCCAGACAGTGCTACAAAGAAATAGACGACGGTTTCATATATTTAAAGAATTACTGCCAGAAAGATATAAATTGTTTGTTTTTGCCTGGCTAGACAAAGAGTGTACTTTCCAATGATTTGGGCAATTACTCTACAAAACTTAATTAGTTTGCTCTCTCCAACTTAATTATCTGTACAAATTCAACAAACATTTGACCTTTAGCCACACTTTGCCACTGCTCCTTATTTTTCCAAAGTAAGGGAGCACAAGGGCGGGACCTCCTTTCTTTCAGCCCTGTGGGACAAATTCATGAATGAGTTCATCTACCAACTTTGCTAATCCTCTGGTCTGCAGATAAAGCAAAAATCATACTTGCAACCCATGGCAGGCCCTTAGAAAAGAAAGAAAAAAATCAACAAGTCAACAAAAAACAATCGTCACTCCAAGAAAGAGAGCAAATAGATTAGCAGGATGGAAAACATTTCCGTGAGTCGTTTTCCCTTGTCTTTTAGACCAGTTATTTCAGGGAAATACCTACTGTGTGGGCTGCGTGCACCCTGAACCTTCAATGGTTTACTCAACCCCAGGAGGCTTGGTTGACCCATCAGAAGATCCAATATCTCAATGTGCCAATGTCTCATCTCACGGTGATCCTGGAACTTGTCATCTTCTCTTTCAAAGACCTAAAATCCCCAAAAGAAGTCTTTGGTTTTCTTCACCTCTAAAAGAGGATACAGATTTGTGAATGTACAAGTCATTTGTAGAAGAAAAGAAGCTTGAATCCAGTCATATTCAGGAACTGAGCAAGGAGCTCATTTGAGGGGAGACAATATTTGCATCTTTAGCCCCCAAACTGTGTTTAAATAATGAACTTTGGGCTGAGGTAGTGGCTCAATTGGTCGAGCACTTACTTAGCAAGTATGAAGTCTGAAGTCACACTGTATGTATGTATGTATGTATGTATGTCACAATGAAATCCGCCTTGTACAAATAACATATGTTAATAAAAATAATCTTTAAAAATAACTCACCTGGTACCCATGGCCCATGCCTATAATCCTAGCTATTCAGGAGGTTGAGATCTGAGAATTGCAGTTCAAAGCCAGCCCAGACAGAAAAATCCATTGAGATTCTTAACTCCAATTAACCACCAAGAAGCCCAAAGTGGAGCTATGGCTCACATGGTAGAGTGTCAGACTTAAGCAAAAAAAAAAGGAAAAGATCAGGGACAGCAAGTACCCAGGCCTGTAGTGCAAGCCCCAGCACTGGCACACAAAAAAGCCTCCAAGGCTCAAAGTAGTAATAGTATTAAACATAATCATTCGATATCAGAGTTTAAAAGAACAAAAGGTAAAAAGGAAATCACTTCAGTGCATGAGGAGCATGCAACCAACTGTTTTAAGCCTAGAGGTCTGCTTCTTAATGCACACCACAAATTGCTCCAGCTTGTGATTAAACCCACCCCTGCTCCCAGAAGGAGTGTCAGGCTAGTTTAGCCCTGAGCGGCAGAGCTTGTCTGGAGGGCTAAGTAAGAAATGAACAGGAGTTCTAACTTCCCTTCTTTCCAGCCTGAATGGAGTGAAACTTGCTTTTCTGGGCACGTAAGGGTTAAGGAAGAGAGAGCGTGCATTTGGGGTACAGCTGGAATCCATTAACAGCTCTGAGACCATGTTGGTAACTCAGTTAGAGGGTGGGTGGCCTGGCAGAGCTCCTGGATCCTTGTGTGTAATCACAGACTCTTAGCACGGGGAGGGGTTTTATTTCCACCTCCCGCCCCATGGATAAATCCCTTCTTCAGCTATTCTGCCTGCATTCTTCCACCAACGGCTCATTCACAGCTTCACAAGACAGCCCATCCCTACCCAGGCAACAGCAATTCCTAGAAAGTTCTTGGCACAATGTGCTTCTATGGAAAGTTTACCCTTGAAGATCTCCCTGTGTCCCCGGGTATTAGGGCACTCATGGTCCCGCTTGTAAAGGCAGCTGTCACTTGCCTTGGGATTTGTGTCTCCTCAGGGAGAAATGACCTTTTGCCATGCCAGGCATCCTATTTAGCGGCTTGCACACCTCCCCCCCGCCAGAGCCTGTCACGCTCACCTGTGCTCATGATTCATAGTTCCTACTGCAAAATAGGACCCTGGACTGAATACCTTTCCAGTGACACTGTTATTCAGTGTCATCAAGGGAATGACGCTCTTCTCTTTTCTGTTTGCTGAGACAAGGTTTTACTTTGTGGCCCAAGCCGGCCTCAGACTTCAAGTTCTATGTTTAGATATTGTTAGTGGAGCGACTTCTCTTCAGCTCTAGAAGGCTGTCCATGGCAGAAGACTAATGCGCCAACAATGCCTTGACAAAGTGAACAGGGAGAGATGGCAAAGCAAAAGGGGAGCAAGAAGGAGGCTCCAAGGGGAGTTCCCAATCTTCCACTCAGCACAGTGGCAGCTGAGAGTGGATGGCTCCCATAGTGACCCAACATCTAAGCTGAAAGGATCCTTTAGGACCAAGGCCAAAGGTCACCTTCATTACATCTCCCCCAGTCCAGTCTTCCATGGGTCCCAGATGCTGCCCAGAACACAAGAGCTGAAGCCCTCTGAATCTGGCCCAGTCCAGCCTATCTACCTTCCTCCCTCCAGGCTTCTGCGCATGGCCTTGTCCCAGTCACCTCCTGCCTCGAAGGTCCATGTCTCCTGGTTTGCCCTTCCCAGGATGCCTTTCCTCCTCCTCAAAGATTGAGAGTTTTGTCTTCCTTGGGTAATAACAGAGCACCTGAAAAACCAGTACCTTTCTGCCATTGACTCAAGATCATATTTTACTGAGGTGGTTCTCTATAAACACACACACACACACACACACACACACACACATCCAGTTCTCCCATTCAAATAATTCATTGTTCAAATAAGCATAAGAGGCAGTCTTTTGATTATGCTTGGAGCAGGTTAAATGCGTGGGTGAGGATTGTTCTTTTGGTGTGAGGAATGGCCTCATTATACCTTCTCCTTCGTTATAAGGAAGGGATGCCAGGTCAGCACCGTCTCTGACTTTTAAAGATTAAGTAAATGAACACTTGAGCCTGATGGAGTGTCCTCATACAGAGGCTGGCATTGCAAGGGTAATTTCCAACTTGTTTTGCCTTCTCAGCTGTGCCGCAGATCAACTGTGACATCAAAGCAGGAAAGATCATCAATCCTGAGTTCATTGTGAAATGTCCAGCTGGATGTCAAGATCCCAAGTACCACGTTTACGGCACAGGTGTCTACGCGTCTTACTCCAGCGTGTGTGGTGCAGGAGTGCACAGGTAGGTGGTTCTGGGTTACTTAATCATGAGCGACTAAAGGGCCCCTAGCTAGACCTGGAGCAGGGCTGCTGTAATTAGAAAGGACAAATTCAGTGAAACCTTCTGCTTTCTTGTTGTCAGTGGTGGGCTTGAACTCAGGGCCTAGGCACTGTCCCTCAGCTCTTTTGCTCAAGGCTAGCACTCTACCACTTTGAACCACAGCTCTACTTCCAGGTTTCTGGTGGCTAATTGGATATATGAGTCTCACTGACTTTCCTGCTAGGATTTTAGGCATGTATGTGCTGAGCAAGGAAATGATAGCAATATGGCCACAAATGCCCAGATGTTTGGAAGAAAGCCTATCACATCTATGGCAATGGCCTGGAAAGAAAGGAGGAGAAGGACAGGAGAAGGAGGAGAACAGGGGACCCCTGGGCCAGCTGTTGGTGGGGATCCAGGAAGGCAGGGACATGCTTTGGACTAAGGAATGCCTAAATGAAGAGAGGCAAAAGTGACCTTCACCTACAGAGCCTTTCCTTACGTCAAAGCACAGAATAGCACGTTTCTTTAATATCTTTGGTGACAAGGTCTAAGACATAAGTTCCCGTGTTTACTTGCAGATTCTCCACAGTTCCCCTGTGTGGCTCCTACTCCTGTTAGATGCATCTTAAAGATGAAGATAGGCCAGGTGCCGGTGGCTCACACCTGTGATCCTAGCTACTCAGGAAGCTGACATCTGAGGACTGCAGTTCAAAGCCAGCCCAGCAGAAAATTCTGTGAGACACTTATCCAATTAACCACCAAAAAAGCCAGAAATGGAGCCTGGTTCAAGTGGTAGAGTGCTAGTCTTGAGCTAAACACAAAAAACAAAACAAAACACACAAAAAAATACCCTCAAGGACAGCACCTAGGCTCTGAGTTCATGCTCCAGGTACAGTGCACACACACGCGCACACACACACACGCACACACACACACACACACACACACACACCCCACATACACACACACACACACACACACACAGATGAAGATAGGCTGAAAAGCTTTTCTAAAGTCACACCATTAAAAAGTGTGCAGCTGGGACCCAGGTCTAATTGGCCGCAGTGCCTGTGTTCTAACTGCTGAGGGACGGCTTTGGATGCGGTTCTCAAAGACTATGCTCCGATGCTAGGTGACGGCAAAATTTTTCAGATCCCCCAAAAAATGCTGGTACTGTGACTTGAGTTTGGGACCTAACTGTAGCTTAGCAATTTTGCTCAAGGGTGGCACTCTACTACTTGAGCCACAACTCCATCTCTGGCTTTTTGTTAGTTAATTGAAGATCAGAGCCTCGTGGATTTGTCTGCTTGGGCTGTTGAACGGCAATCATTAGATCCTAGCCTCCAGAGTAGTTAGGATTGCAGGTGTGTGCCTCGAGGTGTGACTTCCTTTTCTTTATTTGCACAGAAGCTAGTTAGTTACTGAGTCTCATCTCTTCCAGATGGAGGGGAGATGTAAAATCCACTCCCTTGTTAGGTGGCTAGCTAGTCAGTACTCTCTGAGCTGTTTTGGAAGCAATAAGGGATAAACTGCATTCGATATCGCTGGAAAATGACTAGTAGTTTTAATTAGACACACTTCTCTTTAACCTACTGCTGCTGCACAGCGGTGACGACGTCGGTGGGGTTTCAGTGGCAGCGGGATTATCCACAGGGGAATGTTAAAGAGACTGGAATAAAAACAGTGCACAAACACACGTGGGTGCCCTCACCTGTCCTCCAAGCTTGCACACTCATACATGCCTTCTATACATACCAAGACACATGAATGCATTTTCACACACATCCTTACACACATGTACATTGCCCACACAGCCCCCTCAACAATTTCAGCACTCCAAGCTGTGTCCATGTAGACAGCCCATGTCTGTGTAGACAGCAGCAGGACCTAACCTAAGGGTACCTTCTGCATTTTCCCACTTGTGATCCTAGGAGGTTTTAGCACTTTGCTGTTTCTGGCATTTTCTGGCTCTTCTGTCCCAGCCTGTTTCTTCAGCACAAGGGAGCTGCAGTACTACATTGGACTCTCACCAAAAGTGTTATCAAAATGACAAAAAAATTCTTCACACTATAGTGCTCTTCTAGCTTTGTTTCAATCCTAGGAGACTATGGTAGCATCTCCATTTATTAGAAGAAGAACTTGGGCACAGGGAAGTTAATTAAATTGCTCATTAGTTTCACATTGAAGATTAGAACTCCTGTCCCTGGACTTCTACCAGAGAGCCCAAATGGCACATTTACGTAAGATCTGGAGAAGCCTAGCACCACTTAGTGGACAAATTAAGGACTAGAGGGAAATAAAGACTTACAGGAATCAGAGTTAGAAAGGGCTTTAGGAACAATGGACTCTCCCGTGAGAGACAAATAGGAAGAGCATTCACTTGCCATCCTAGCACAGGGAAAAGAATGTAGAGGAGAGTAGAGGAAAAGAATGTGCATACTTTAAGAACATGATGGCTGCAGGAGCAATTGACTGTCATTGTGGCTTCTTAGACCAGGGACTGGGAAGGTAGAAAACATGCCTGGAAAAAGGGATCACCGTCCATGGGGAGGGGATTCAAAATCTTAAGGGGAAAAACAGGGATTTGGGGTGTTAGTAGCTTTGTTTCTCATCAGAAGAGCAGGTCTGTTTTGAGAACTCAAGACATGAAAGACATGAGGACTAAGCATGTGGAGGACCTATACATTCACTGTCCTGCCACTTCTCCCAGTGTCAGAAGACTGGAGGGCACTCAGAGAAATCAGAGAGAGCTTTAGTTTAGAAATATGGATGCATTTGAATGAAATAATTCAATATTCATATACTATATCATGCTTAGGTGTTTTCTTACACACCACCTCCTTGATTTCTTCAGACCAAAGGGAGAATAGACAGACAAGATTTAAAACATTGTATTTTGGCACAGTCTTCTCATAAACTAATTCCTGTGTTTAAAGATGTCTCACACCTGTAATTCTAGCTACTCAGAGTTAGGAAGGAGGTGAACATCCTAACCATGTATGGTACTACACAAAGTCTGAGGAGAATAAGAAGTAGAACCTGTTTTGCTCTTTCGGAGAATGAGGATACAAATGAGGTGATAGTTACACAAATTCTCCATTCAGCAGAGCATTGAACTCTATTCTGCTTCAAAAGTGGAACCGCAGTCTCCTTCTGACTCTCTCCCTCCTTCTCCAATGTGTCTATTCTGGAAATCAAGTCCTCCTGCATGGGAACTATCCACCCACATCTTCCAGTTAGGTCCATCCACAGAGGACACTTCACCCTCTGTCCCAGTAGTAAATTTTCACAAGTACACAATAGTTCTGCATCTATACCTGTCCCAAAGTCAAAAGGACCAAGCCCAAGACTTGAGGCTAACGAGACTGGGGTTCAAATCTGTCCTGTAGTTCACCAGCAACAAACTATTGAGTGAATCACTCCTAGGAACAGCCTGTTTCTATGAGACAGGAATAAAAGTATTCCCTCCCCTCCACAGCTCAGAGGTTTGCTGGAAGGATCCAGTGAGACACCATATGTGACACGATTTTAAAGCCATCCAGTGCTTCATATGTCAAGAATTATTGCCACTTGATTTCCTTCTGAGCCTTAGGGAAGTTGAGTGTTGAAGGTTGTTGGCTTACTCTGGAGAGGGGCAGGAAATTCCTGGTGGGAAGGATAGGTATGGAGGGAACAAATATACATACTTTTCTAAAAACTCCCACGTGATAAATTACAGATATTCAAAGTACTCTCGTAAGACGCAGGGGCAGGGAAATGACTATATGTAAAAGTGCTATTTAGGAACCTGTTTGACAGAGATGGAAAAACTCTGATAGATCATCACTCTCAAGTCAGGACCTACAACCTTGGTAGAATGCCAAAAATGTCCTTTATGATACAACTTGGAAATTTCCGGGAACAAATTTTTCCTCCAAGAACTAGTAGAAACCCAGGTGTGGTGGTACATGACAATACTCTCAGCTACTCAGGAGACCAAGGAAGGAGGATCATTTGAGCCCAAGAGTCAAAGCCAACTGGGAATAAGAAATTTGAAGGGGGATGGAGAAGGAGTTGAGACATGGTAGCAAGAAGCAATTTCTGACTGACAGAACCATCCGTGGCCATAAGGAAATACAGATGTCGGGCTGAGTGAAGAAGTAGTCCCTTGGAGGTTGGGCTGCAGGTCCAGGTGAACTTTTCCTTGGCCTCCCTGTTTCCATGTGTCTAAATAAGGATAGAGGCCGATTCAGTAGTGTGTTAACAATAAACCGTATTTCTGTACTTTCTTCGTTCTTTTGTTTGTTTGTTTTTTTAAATAGTGGTGTTCTCGGTAACTCAGGAGGAAAAATACTTGTTCGGAAAGTTGCTGGACAGTCTGGTTACAAAGGGACTTACTCCAATGGTGTCCAATCACTGTCCCTACCCCGATGGAGAGAATCCTTCATCGTCTCAGGTATGGCTTCATATGGGGTGAAATAGTCTTCCAGGGTGACAGTCTCGTTCCAGTTGTGATTCGTTTTGGGGTTTGCCTTGGTTTTCTTTATGGCCCACTCTATTTCATAAAGATCTGAAACATGATTTCCTCTGACAGGATCCTGAGACACAAAGAATTATAATGACATGACCACTCACTATAAAGTCAAATCTTGGAATATTAAAAGCACCAGTTACTTACACTGCCCTCTCTGTAGGTCCAACCTAGCTTTTGATAAAGTGAATTGCCTTTAACAACTTGGGTTTTTAACTAATTAAGCCCAATGTGTTCCATATTGAGAACCTTACTCAGCCATTGGGGTCTCTGATCAATGGGTGAAGCATATACTTAGAGAGACACATGAGTGGTGATTTTATCTTAAATTAGTTTTACTTTAAATTAGTTGTTTCACTATTTGATCCATTCTCTCTGACTAGCTCTATTGGGTTTTTGTAGACTGCACTTTTACTCTTAGTCCCTCCACTTTCAGAGAAGATACAAGATGACCTAATTGCGAGTGTGTGTTTTCACCAGGAAAAGATATTTGAGTGTCTTTGTACCATCATGACCTTCCTTCCCATCATTTTCTGTTGTGCTGGATTTCCTCAATCCTACCTTTCATTCTAAGAATGTTTAAATTTCCAGAAAGATGATAAGACTAATACAATGACTCCACATGTCCCTTTCACCTAAAGTTGCTCTCAATATTTTTGCCACATGTTTTTCTACCTCCTGTCTACTGCCATGTATTGATATATATAATTTGTTCTGAAAATAAGCAGCAGACATCATGCTGTTATACCAGTACGTTTTCCTGTATTCACCTTACAGGAACAAAGAATATTTTCCTAAACAACAATACCAATACCATTGATACAACAATATTACTCAATAAAGTTGTCTTATTTAATTATCTTCAAGATGTTCTTTAGAATAATCTCTTGATCTTCAGCTCTTCAGTCTGATCAGAGATTATGCAACGTACTTTAGCTCACCACTCCTGTTCAGTACCCTTTAATGTTCCAGCACACTGTCTACTTCTATCTTGAATGGCATTGAAATCTATGAAGTCCAGATGCTTATCTCATACTGTGTCCTACAGTACGGACCCAAAGCAAGTCCACCTGTAGCCTTGTGATTGAATTCAGGCTGCATAATTTTTAAGGGACAGATAATATCACAGCCTCATCATCGTGGGATACTACAATGACTATATCAAGAGACTATGATTCTATTAGGTAGTGAGGCTGAGTTTCATCATTTAGATTATTTACCATATTTCTCTCCAGAACAGAGATATTCATAACTGATACCTAATCAGTGGGTTAATACTTTAAAACAACTTCAGTAACTTGTCCCCCAATAAATTCCATGTGACACTTTTAACATCTGGTGCTCATGATTTTTGTAGCATTCAGTACATTAGTTCCTTGGTGTTATGGGACATTGGTTCCAAGGCCCCTTCTAGAAGCCATGTTTTGTAGGAAGCTCAAGTCTTTTGCATACAGTGGCATCCTATTTGTGTGTAACCTAAGCACATTCTCTCAGATTCTTTTTTTTTTTTTGGGGGGGGGGGGTCCGGTCGTGGGGCTGAACTCTGGGCCTGGGCACTGTCCATCAGCTCTTCAGCTCAAGGCTAGTGCTCTACCACTTGACACAGCGCCACTTCCGGCTTTTTTTCTTTTTGCTTATGTGGTGCTGAAGAATCGAACCCAGGGCCTCATGCATGCAAGGCAAGCGCTCTACCACTGAGCCACCTTCCCAGCCCCTCTCAGATTCTTCTTATCCTATCTAGATTGTTTTCAATACCTTACATAATGCAAATGGTTTATAAATAGTTGTCATGCTGCATTATTTAATAAGTGATAACAAGAAAAGTCACATGTTCAATACACTATTTTTCCTAATGTTTTATTGGACTTTAGTTGAATCCCCAGATTTGAGCAGAAACTAAATTTTTTTCCCTAATTTGGTCATTCCTTTGATACATAATGATTTGTATTCTTATGTAAAGATGTTACACACACCTTTTTAAATGCCAATTATGGGCTCATAGATTGTCTATTGTCTATTATCATCATTATCCTTTAGACACTCAAACTTTCTAAAATTGGCCGATGATGCTTCTTCGGGCCTTTGAAATGTCCACATTGGTGTTTGTAAACCACAAGGTGCCAAGGTTCTATGCTCACCTTAAACCTCCACTGACTGGGACCTGAATCTCCCAACATCCAAAGAGAGATTCCATGACATTTTATTTCATTTTATGTTTACTTATTTGTGTGCCAATCCTAGGACTTGACCCCAAGGCCTGGGCACTGTCCCTGAGCTTATTTTGCTCAAGGCTAGTGCTTTACCACTTGAGCAACAGCTCCACTTGCAGCTTTGTTTGGGTAGCTTAATGGCCATAAGAGTCTAATGGACTTTCCTGCCTGGGCTGGCTTCAAACCACAGTCCTCAAATCTCAACTTCCATGAGCTACCAGCAGCTACCAGTCCCATGACATTTTACCCTAGAATCTAGCAAACTTTTTTGGTATCCCAGCAAGATTAGATGCCATGAGTTTGCTCTAAGAAGGAGCCACCTATGGAAAGCCAATGAAAGCAGGGAAGGAAATGCCTCACACCATAGTAGGTCTTGCAGTCAGAGTGCTTTCTGATATAATTAGGCATCTGATGCCCCTCCCCTCCTGCCCTCCATCCCGTTGTACTAACTGTACTCCACAGTTGTACTAAAACTAAAAGTAGGACTTTTAAGGTTCTCTTCAAATTGAGTAATTCTCATCTCCTTTTGCATGCCAAATTCTGCATGCATAAGGTGCAAATTAGACTGGTTTCCAGTTAGACTAGTGGAAGTTGAAAGACATCAACTACAATGCTGTGGGTAATGACCTTGCCACCAGGTATTGAGAACAGAAGCTATAGGAAAACACTACTGTCTACAGTTCAAGTATATTGAAATGGACAGTGATATAATCTCCACCAAAGGTTTTTCCCAAATAACTCCTGGCTACTTAAAAGCTTTTCCACCTTACAAGCTCCATCTCCCCATATTCCACCTTGTGACATTTCACAGGAAAATAGGCCTTGCCAGTGATAATAAGCACTTGTGCCCCTGCCATGGCTAGAAAGCCTCTCAAATGGATGAGTTTGGAAGCAGACTGGCACATTGAGTCTTCGGCCAAGGAACACCCTATTATTCGGTGGTTCATGGCCAATGAGTTTAACTGACTCATGTCAAAATTCTCCTTGGAAGATTCAGATGCCTCTGTGGCCTTTCCTCTAGGTTTTGTATCTAATTTTTACAAGTTGCTGTGCTCTGCTAATTAATTGGCTGGCAGGGGTGAGGGGAAGAGGGCGGGGCGAGCATTGTGTGGTCAACATTGTGGTTCCTTACAGGGATGTGAGAGAGGTCAGCCAGGAAGCCCTAACGCTGCCCAGTTGTTCTTTGTTACAGAAAGTGAGCTGATGGCCCTTTGTCTTCTCAAAAGAAACAAGATGAGCCATTGGGTTTTAGTTGTGAGAACAGCAAACAGAGCGAGACATGTCTCTGCTTCACTTTCTGTTGACAAATGTGGTCCACAGCTGGGGGGGGGGGGGGGCTCTCAGGATCTGTTGGGAGCAAGCCTGAACGAGGCAGAGAACTTGAAAATGCCGGAGTTCTGTTCCCAAAGTGATTTTACAACTGCCAAGATGCCCAGAGGATTGCCTCATTTCACCTTGGAGTGTCATTTATAGGTAATACCAGAATCAGCATTTGCAGTTTTCTGCAATAATGTTTCAAAAATGTTTTCCCTGTGTTTTTTTTTTTCCCTGATAGATTCATTACAAATTTGTGCATTAAGTCATGGCCATATCATTATTCATATTTCTGAATTTTAAAAAAAAACCGTCTTGGAGATTATTAAGCAGAAAAGATAAAAACAGGCTGGCGGTATAGGTCAGTGGTACAGTATGTGTCTAGCATATACAAGGCTATGGCTTTGATGCACGGCAAAGAAAAAGAAAGCAGTAGGGAGGGAGGGAGGGAAAGAGAAATCTAGCTTTAATTATTCCTGGACCCAAGCCTTCCTGAGACCCCATAGTCCATTGTGCAAACAGAATATTTAGCATTATCCTGATTCACTCAGCTCAGCTCTCCCTGCAGCACCCCCACTAGGCCTCTAAAAGTTTTCCTTCCGGTTGAGAGTTGCAATGCTTTTATCATTCTGTATAACTATGGATAACAAATGACAAGCCTCCTTACAGAGGCCCAGGTATTAAGATACTCTTTGGCAGAATAATGTCGTCTTGAGTCCTTACTCCGTGTAAGACATGTCTTGGGGCCCTGAGAATTCATCAGCTACCAACTCAGGCAAATTACTTGCCTTTGGGGTGCTTGCTGCATTCCCCCGGTGCTTTCAGTTTAATTGCAGAACAGAGCTCCAGGGTGGAATGTCAGGCACTTTTGCAAGATCAGAAGAAGATTTTTGCCAACAAAAGACAATTTCAGTCATTGAGGCTGGGTGCCTGCGCTCAACTGCCATCACCCCATCCCTTTTCTTTTTTACACCTCCACTGTTTCCCTACCATGCCTCCCTGGATGACAATAAATGGTTGCTTCCAAGGGGGATCCAGGTTTACCCACGTTTAGGTAGGTACTCTTGCTGAAACTCAAGTGGATCCTGCAGTGTCTGTGTCAGTGAGGAGAGATGGTTCACCCATAGTCAGCTTGTGATGTGAGACCTCTCTGCATGGCAGCTATAGAATGTTCTCATATTCACCCACCATTCCAACTAAACATTCCACACCACTTTATGAAAACCACAGCTTAGCCAGGTGCCAGTGGCTCACGCCTGTAATCCTTGCTATTCAGGAGGCTGAGGTCTGAGAGTCAGAGTTCCAAGCCAGCCAGGGCAGGGAAATTTCCCATGAGATTCTAATTGCAAATTAGCCACTCAAAAGCCAAAAGTAGTGTTGTGGTTCAAAATGGTAGAGCAC